CAGTTGGACAAGACACCAGTTGGACAAGACACCAGTTGGACAAGACATGGCCGGCCATGGCCGGCCTGGGCAGGGTGGCTGGCCGACTCTACGTGGGCTTTGAGACCGAGGGACACCGGGAGGCGCACGGCACAAGTGATGGTTGACCGGTTGACCTGTAGTGTAAAATCCCGTGGTTTGTGCGGTAAAAACCATTACAATCCATTTGACTTATATAAATCAATGGTCGGAATCCTAGGGGTAACTGAGCACAACTGAGCTAGGAAACTCTTTTCCTGATCAATTTCAGGGCTACATGAGTGCGTGTTGGAAGAGTAAGCCCCCCCTGGCCCGAGGGGTTTAGGCGTCGAATTGGTTCTTCTTTGTACAGTGCGGGGGGCCAGGCATCCAGCATCATTTAATGCTTTTGTCCAGGTTCCTCCCAAAAAGGACAGAGTATGTGACTATATACTTCTCATTCAATATATATATATATTATATATATATATACCTTTGTCACATGTTGGTCTCTTCGATTTCTTCATGTTCTCTGCTGTTCATCAACCTCCCTTACTGTACCACCAGGGGCCACGACTCTGAAAAAAAACACCGGCTCCCAAGCGAAATAGATGTGAGTGACGGCTGAAGGTACCACCACCATCTCAGAAAACATCAGCAGCTCCCTCCCTCCCAGAGATCCACCCAGAGATCCACCCGTCCGACCCGTCGGACCCAGAACCCGGGCGCTGAAGCTCGCAGCAGCCGGCCCGACATCCTGTGCGTGGAGGCGGGCCGGGCTTGTTGAGGCTTCGGCAGCTCGTGGGCGCGTGCATCGCTCGATGTGCTGGCCATGCGAAGCTAACAGAGCTGGCCACCTGAAGAGGCATGGCCACCTGCAGGCCACCTAGCATCCGCCTTCGGTGAGTTGCCTTTAATTAGGCTTGAAAAAACACTGCCATTCTCGCAAAAGTGAGTGAGTGAGAGGTTGAGGTTGAGTGAGAGGTGGAGGTTGAGAGGTTGAGAGGTTGAGGTTGAGAGGTGTGATGCCCAGTGGCTCACAAAAGACTGTGGCTTCAGCGCTGCCAAGTCCTCCTTCTTGATCGGAGCATAGGGTTTGCATAGGACCCAAAACGCGAATCCACTGGGACATCAAAGCTTTCAGCAGTGTTGGAGACTGCTTGTTTTCCAGACGGCAGCCTGGTTTCCAGTGTGTGCAGCTATCGATGTAGAGGACAAAAGGCTGATCCCATAGGAAGAACAAGTCCTGATACACAAGTTCATTGAACTGCTGCGTGCCACCTACAAGTCAGGCCGATTCGAAACTTGCAGATGTTGCTTAGGCTAATTCGCATGGGCATTGAGCAAATCGCTGAACCAGGACACGACTGGCAGGTGTGATGCCTGGCTTACATACGCCTGCTCCTCAGTTCGGACTTCATGGTCACTCCTACCATCCCGGTGACTTTTGAAAAGAGTACAAATGACCCCGTTGAGCAGGCAGTAGAAGTAGTCACTGACCTGATAGCTACAGCTGTGCAGGACTATAGCCTCCACTAGCCATAACATAGAAAAAAGGCAGAGGTGCGCACATTCATGCTACTAGAGGTCACCGACACCCATTCAAGCTCATTCTCTCCCATCCCTTTCATACCCTTTTCATACCCTGCCAATGGTCTTCGTGGAAGCCCACTGCTCCGGTCGAGCTTTGAAATCCGATCGCTCCGGCTGCATACCCTTCAGACGTCGACCAGTCGGTAAAACCGACCGGTCGGTGAGACCTGACCGGCTGGACCGGTCGACCGCCAGGTGGAGTTGGCCGGTGATGCAGGGAAGTTTACCTCGCTTTGCACAGCTCATCGCACCTCGATGCGGGCGGATTGGACGCGGTGACGGGGCGGGTGGGCGGTTGTGGGCCTCGGAGAGCGTGCCAGGGCGAGCGTGGGACGCGGTGACGGGGCGGAAGGCAGCAGGGCAGAGTCCCAAGACGACCAGGGGTCGTAGACGTGTTGTGGGAGGGAGGGAGGGAGGGAGGGAGAGAGGGCTAGCAGCTAGCAAGAAGAAAGAGCGAGTCCAATGGAATACCTTTGACACTCAGCTGCCCAGATCATGCTTTCATTCAACAGCCCAACGCGGCTCTTTTTCAGGGGCTCGGCCAAATCTGCAGGATTGATCTGCAGTCTACTCGAGGGTGTGCCGAACAGACTGCCTGCCACTTTTCTCTAATAATTATATTGTATTGAATGACCCTAGGACCCTAGCACTCCACCTCAAAACCATCTGCTTACCTCTAAAGCAGATCCACTCAACCAGTCGTGACGCCCACATCCACCCACCTCCCGAATTTGGAGAGCTCGGTTTGCTCTCCGCTACTCCGCTCCGCTTGCCCAGGGATGGTCCAAGTAACTGCGGGTGAACAGAGAAGCTTTGGACCGTGGACCTGTACCGATAAGCGAGAAGTGCCTGGCCCAGACGACGACCAGGGGCAGCGTGGTCGGGTGTGTGTGAAGGTTTTTGCTTGGACACCACACACCCCCTCACATGGGCCGGATGAGGTAGGTGCCTCAAATGGACTGCGAATCATTGTGAGCACTGAAAAAACCACATACGGCGACCTGTGTAGTCTATTTGGACTGTTCAACTAAGACCATTTCTCAAAAAATAGGTGCTTCGACTTCCAGGTTATATGACTGTTCAACTCCTTGATCTACCAGGTTTACTTGCTAAGACTTTCCCGACCATGTCAGGTCAGCGCAATCGATCCTCCGACCCTCCGATCTGGGCGCGCGCTGGGGGCGCGGATCAGGTGGAGAAGCGCTGGCTGGAGCTCCGAGCCAAGGCGCTGCCGAGCTGTGGGTGAAGGGCGTGGGTGGCCGAGGGCTGTTTGGCTGCTCCAGACACGAGCTACGAGCTAAGTAAGAGAGGTGATTTTCAGTGACCTCAATCCAGGTCCCGGCTTAGCTGGGGTACCCAACTGGGATAGTTGAACAAGGGTTTTGAAACACCTCTGTTGGTGACCCATGGGACGCTTGACCAATCAGGGCCAGGTTGGTTGGTTGAATGGTTGGTTGGTTGGTTGGTTGGTTGCAGGGGTCAACTGATCGGCATAGATTTTGAGTCGTCCCATCGGTCTTGTTTGGGTAACCGAGGGTCCTGGGTCAGTGATGGTCAGTGGCGGTCATGGGGTTTGGGTAACGGAGGCTCTGAATTTCGGAGATGAAGATGGATGGGCATGCATGGGCAGGCGAATATCATTTGGACATGGGGTGCGCAGTCCTGAACCTTTGCGGCTGAGTGAAGCAACATGAAACATTTTTGAAGGATCTATAGTTGTGGCAGTTGTGGCAGGAGGAACGACCGGTTTTGTATGTGCTTTAAAATAAGAAATTGGAGGGAAGTGCTCTTGGTGCTGGTGCTTCTATACTGCTATACTGAGCGTTCTGCCATGTTCCCCAAACCAAGTGTTCGGACAGTGCCATCGGGAAATCCGTCAAGAGGGCTTAGGGAAGACGTGCATACCGGAGAACCATCTATGGTCCGGAGTCCGGAGCCAAGGTCTTACAAACTTTGACAACGTCACGGGCTTCCCCCCCCCAAAATGATCCGAGGTCCTCTGCCCGGAGTTCCGAAAGGGGTGGGGTGCCTCATTGAAGCCATGGGGTGCCCACCTCGCTGAACGAGCCGGAGAAGAGCATCTCCAATAATTGGGAACTGGCCCATCTCCTCTTCCAAAACGGCCCATGTCCCATCAACGGCCTTCACCTCACCCCTCACCCCTCACTATAGTCACTAGAGATCTAACGCCTGTCATTCTCCCAACCGCCTCGGCTTCAGCGACTTCGCCGTACGGCTTCGACGACGGCGACGGAACCGCCGGTTCCGGCACGCGCGGGGTCCGTGGTGCCAGGCCTTGGGAGTGCTGGGCTTGTCCTTCGAGCTACGTCACTTCATGCGCTTGATGGCTGCCTTGCTCGGTGCCTCCTTGCTCCCCGAACCGGTAAGCCACCGACGCCTGTGGAATGGGCTGAAGCCGGTGGTGGTGGGCGCTTCACCCATGGCCAGGCGGGAGCGAGAGCGAGGTGGAAGGCGTGACGAAGCTAGAGGCCTCTTAGAGTCAACAAACAAACAGCTGTTTATAGCAGGACCCTCCAACTGGTCTCCTTTGGTTGCATTTTGCAGACTTTTTGACGTCGCGACCGGTGGTGACCTGTGACGTCGGGTGCTGGTAGAGATGTTGACCGCGCCCCCGGAGGGTTCGGTTGAGCGAACCCACCGTCACTGGTCTTTCGACAGGAAGGGCAGATGGTCTTTCGACAGGTCACTCGAACTTCCCGGTACTTCGAGCGTTGCACGCCACAGCGTTCCTCCTTCTTTGTTCTGACTACCAACAGAGGTTGAAGGACCCTATAGACTATCCCATAGGTACCCCAGTAGGGTCCTATAATAAGGTCACTTAACCTCTCTTGGTAGGTCCAGGTCACTTCAGCGGGGCAAACATATCGTCGAACTGGACTTCTATCCACGGTTAGTATGTATGCTAAGTGGTTACTAACCACGGTGGACCTTTTAAGTAGGGTCTCCCCCTCTCATCTTCGCGATCTTCACCCAAGCCTGCCAGGCTCCGCGTGGGCTTTGGCGGCCTCAGCACCCACTTCCCAGAGCCGCCCACGTCGACCTCGGGGTCCCGTGCCGCGGAACGTGGCGGACGGAGTGAGCAGGACCGGGGTGGCGTGCCCTTGGGTGTGGCCGAGCTGCTGGCACATCCGCCCTTCGCGGACTACGTGCTGTGAGGGGGAAAAGCGCCGGGTCACCGCCGCGGCCGGAGCCAGAGGTGATGTGTTGAGGAGCCATCGATGTGTTGCAGATGAACTTCGACTGGAAGCCAATCTTGATCTCTTGTATTGAACACATTTTTTCAGAGGTGTTTTTGGACATGTGTGTTCTTTTTGTCCATCATGTTCCATGTTGAATTTATCAGATTTACTCCCAAGCTCGCTCGTTCTGCCATTATTTCGATTTGCCAGGGGAGCTGCTCACCACAGTGCTGCTGGGTGGCCCCAAAAAGAGCTACGATCGATTTGGGACGGAAGAACAGGCCGAACGAGCCTGAGGAACCCAGACCTGATCTGAACCCAGGACTGGAAGATGTGGCTGTAGATCATGGCCAGGATGAGTTCACCAGGTCACCAGCTTGACCGACCTCCTGTAGCTCGTCGACTCGTCCCATGCCCATTTGGTCAACCGGAAGGTACCCTGCCACGGGGTACCATGCCCATATGGTCGTTGATGGGCGGTTTCTGTAAGGAATGCCGATGAGTTGCCTTTTCAACCAAGAAACCTCACCTGATCGTACCAGTTCCAAAAAGAGGACTGAGGAGTAGAAGGAACTTTGCAGAAAGAAATGCCACGACGGCCAACATTCAGCTTGAGTTTGGGATGTGGGCTGGCTGGGGTATGAATCTTGGGATCTTCAGCTTGCTCTCCGACAGTTGAAGATGAATCTCGCTTGCTCGCAGATGTCCGAACAACCTCGCTATATCACTTTTACTTGGGATCATTGCACCCACTGACTAATACTTTTCAAACGAGTTGAAACCACCAACCAGTTAGATATTTTCTATCAACAGCCAGGCTAGGGATATTCACAAGTACACGTATTTACTGAAGTAGTGCGTTGACCCCCAAGCATGCCGCTTCTTGCCGGCCCTTTTGCATGCCAGTTGTATGAGTTTTGGTCACGATTCGGGCTGAGGTTCTACCCTGTCGAGCTTGTCATGACCTCGGGTGACAATGGGAAAGAGTCAAAACTGGGGAGCTTCATGTCAGGGTCCCCCTTAGGGCGCTCCAGGTGCTTTTGTAAACGGATGATACGGATGCTGATGCACAGACAAACTCCGAAAAGCCTCAAGCTTCTCCAAGTCCTCCATGGCCCTTTTGGAATACCGTAAGTCCTTTTGACTCCAGTAGGATCTACTGTAAGGCATCACCAGAATGTGGCCTTTTCCCTTCCTCCGGTCTGCGGTCGCCGGTCGAGCGCAAGCGCCCCCTTTGAGGTGAAGAGCCGACTGCAGGCCTCCGCCAACAGCTTCGCCAGCGCCATGGCGACGATGGTGGGCGACGATGGTGGGCGACGATACCAGCACCGAAACCAACAGGTCTCCGAAATGGAGGGTTTTTAGGCCCTAACAGGTTTCAATTGGTGACCTGTTTGGAGGTGCTGGTAGATGGTTGATGAATCAACCTCTTGCTCTCCAGGAATGGTTTTACCATGTTTCACCTCTCCATATGCGGTCTACAGTGGCATGGCATGGCCCTGCGTGGCAGTGCTGGGACACAACACCGCCACCGAGGCTCCAGCTACCAATACAGCGGATTGGCGGATGGGCTTCTGACCATCCTGCAGAAGAACGGGCCTCAGGTGCCGATTTCAGTTCGGCACCGGCACCATCCGCGTGTTTATAGTAATATTTTGTCATATCCCTAAGAATCAAGGACCCTCAAAGGTGAAGGTTTTGAGGGTCCAAACCCCTGCTATGCAAGGTCAAAACCCTCGGTCCAATGATCCTTAGGGTACCAGAAAAGGTTGAGGAGTTGAGGGGGTACATGTTGATCCATCCGATGGGGCACAGTGGGACTTTCCATCTCTGCGATGGCGACGGTCCGACCCTGGGCGTTGGAGGAGCAAACCCCCTCCTGTTCCACTACTTGGCGACATGAGAGTCCAATGGGTCGACTTCGAGACCCCTCGAGTCCAACGTGTGTCCCATTTGACCCCGAAACCGACCTGGTGGATGGAGTCAATCCACCAGGCGGAGTAGTTCATGAGTCTTTGGACGGTTCTGTTTCTTTCTTTTCTTTTTCCAGGCCCGGAACGACGGAACGGCGGTTTCTGTTGAAGCTCTGCATTTGGCCTTGCTCGATCCCGTGCTCTGATCGACGAACTTTTCGTCACGGATCCAGTTCGTCACTGAGACACGATGACTCACCCGAAAACGACGGATGTGACCTGAAATTGTCAGCTCCGCGCTCCGCGCCAGGGGCTCTTCGTCGGAATTGGACCCGTGCTGGTCAGTCACTTAAATAAAGAGAGCATCTCTTCCGAAAGCCGCGGAAAGGGAGGGGGCCCTGCAAAAAAGGGATCCATCTCGAATACCTTCACTTTTCATCACTTTTCTCTTGTGCAGCCAGGAAAGCCAATTTGCTTCATCCCTTTTTCATCCCTTTTGCACGAACGCAGAACAGTGAATCATCAGGAACTTGCTCCAATCATCTGACCCTCAGACTCTGAAACTTCTCCCTTCTCCCTTGACTTCCACGACTCAGATGGGCCTTCCAGTCCCCGGGACCCGCGAGGTCCGTGCGGGCAGCTCAGACTTCGTGGCGGCCTACGCCGGCGAAGCGCTGCTCCAAAGGCCCGTAGCGCTGGAGTGGTGCAGAGGGGGGAACGAAGGTCCGAAGACGAACGGTCCGGTGTTCCTGGATGCATCGGCGCTGGGATTTTGAGGTCCCTGATGGCCTGGGGGCCTGGTGGAGTCGGTGGAGTCGGTGGAAAGCCAAGAGATCCATGAACCATCATGAGCCTGGGTGAGCTCTATTTTTAACTGGACATCATTGGTCCAGGCTTTTTGCGGTGAATAAGCTCTCACACACCCAAGATGAGCAGGATCATGTGCATCAGCAGCGTCCTTTTGTTGAGCCAAGATGGTTGAACCTTAAGGTTTTATGGACAGGTCAGCCTGGGAACCATCCCACCCAGAAGCAACCCAGAATTTCTTGGACGACCATATGGCTTTACTAGGAGCCCCATGGGGGCGGACCTAAAAAGACCTGATCACGACTGGATTCGCGGACCGACAGACCCCGGTTTCTTCTCCCGAGCATTTTCCAGGTTTCGGCAGGACTCATTGGTCCAGGGCCTGGTGAAGATGGACCCAGGGTCCTCCGCACGGACCCGCACGGACTCTTCGGGACCAAAAAGGGAACAAGACCGACACGGAACAAGACCGACACGAACGAACAGCGGGCAGCGGGCGGTAGCTCTGCCTCTCCCAGCTGAATTCGACTTGAACGACTGGGTCGGAGTGGCGGGATGGGGGGAGACCCGATGGGAAGTAGTCAGCCAGATGTGTTTTGACCTGCGGTCAGGTTTAGCTTGCCAAGCTTGGGCTTCCTCCAGGGCCTGTTCTGGCGAACGCTGGGTTGCACCTTGGCCCGAGTAGGGTCTTGTAGCTGGGGTTCTCATATGGTTTCTTGATGTTTCTTGTGAGGTGAACGCATTACTGTAGGTAGATGTCACGTCCTTTTTCCAAAAGGTGGTTTACATGAAGTTACCAGTTCAAGTGCTCAGACTGGTATGCCAAACGACTCTGGTGCCCGGATGTCCCAAATCTCTTGCAAGAACAGAGTTGGACTGTTTTGATATGTTTTGATGTTTAAAGATTTAAAGATGTCTAAACCAAAGTTATAAACCAGGAATCACAGAGCTCGGGGGTGGTGTTTAGTCTGGTGGACGAGCCTCGTCCCATCCAGTGAGTGGATCATGGGCATTCCGACATCGTCCGTTCGTTGGGCACCCCGGTCTCGTGACTGCTGGAAGATGTTGGAAGAGCAGTTGACCAACCATCTCGAAGAGGATCCTGCTCCATGATGCTCCATGGGAACCCATCACATCCAGGGAAAAAGATCAGGACACAACCAGACAGGCTGGGCGGCGTGACAGGCACGAATCTCCGGTTTGAAGGACAAAGCCACTCAACTGGAGGTGCACAAAAGAAGGAATTCCTCATGTGGACGATATACAACAGAAGAAAACAACGCACCTGGAAAAACGACTTCATTATTTTCTTCATCCGTCGCACCCGGTGTGCCTCAGGTGGCGTCAGCGTGCTGAGCACCATGCCGTTTGAGAGCGTGGCCGCACGTGGGGGAGCCCTGAGGGCATCTGAGGCTCCTTGTTTTGGCAGGTCAAGAAACTGAAGAGGTCACAGAAGTTCACAGAAGTATAATTCTCGTTAAAAACAACTGTTTTCTCGCCAAGGGGGGCCCTATCAGTTTGGGGGCCACTCTGCTTTCTTCCTTGCACAGGCTCCATCCTCGCCGCCACCGCCGGCTCGGTCCAGCTGCACACTCCACACGCCACACGCTGGTTGGGTGGGTGGGGGCGGCACGACCCGAGACCGAAACCCCATGCGTTGGCGCCCATGGCATGTGCTGCTCGTGAAGCTGGCGACCAGCTCGACCGAGGCGGGAGGGCGTGAGGGGGACCGTGAGGGTGACCGTGAGGGTGCTGGTGGTGAGACCGGTGGTGATGCGGTGGAATGCTGTCACTGTTGGTTTGTTCTGCAGTTTCTTTTTGCCAAGTACCTTGCAAGCACGCATTCTTGGGTTAGGGGAAACCTTGGAGTCCAAGACCAATTCACAAACATGGTCTGACCAGGAATTTCCCGAATTTCGATGGAATTTTCCTGAAACCGACCTGGCGCGAAATACAGCTCGAACTGAACTGACCCCCTCGAGGGCTCTCTGTCGACCAGGTCCTGGACACCTGCGACGAGGGCGCGCCGGTGGTGTTCCTGCAGGATCCGCGACAAAGCCTTGCCTTGTTGCGGTCTGGCTTTTGCAAGCCTGTTGTTTTCTCCTTCTTCTTCTTCTTCGTCGTCGTCGTCTTCTTCTTCTTCTTCGTCCGACCAACAACAACCCAAGCGAACTTGTGGGAACTTGGCGGGGATTGCACGCACAACAAACAGGTGAAAAAAGGTGAACATGGATTCTTCCAGAGAAACCAAGGGAGTCTTAAATTTGATCACTGCACCAGCACCCGTCCATCCACAGCCACTACATGAGTCATACAGTACCATCACCAGCACCCTCCTCTCATCATATACTGCAAACACAGTAGTTCTCAGAAAGGACAGGTTCAAGTCCAGCGCCCGGCCGCACTGTGCTCTTCCAACAAGCACATCGAGTTAGCTCGATGCCAGATGCCCGCGCCTAGCGTCCAAGCAACAAATCCATCCGATACACCAAGACGGAGTTCGTTCGGAACCGAGTCTTGACCCGGAACATGTGGGTGCATGTGTATGCCAACGGCTGGGCAACGGGGGTGGGGTGGCATAAGGATGTTCATTTTCACATGCGCACCAACGTGTCACTACGTCAGGGGTGGGGTGGGGTACTGATGTTCATGATCACATGCGCAGGAACTTGTCATGTTCACATGCGCGATTACCTCTTATATAATATATCACTTTTGGCATTTTTTTTGCATGTTGCTACTCGTGCCGTGGCGATGCTTTGGCCGAAAGGCTTCAAGAACAGTCCGTGGAGCCAAGCTCCAAGAAAGAGGATGGGACCTTTATCCTGGAGAGTTTTCTTTGACCACAGAAGCTAGATTCTTCAGATTGTTTCTTGATGATCCGGAGGTGCTCGTGAACCTTTCAATCCACATGATTCGCCACACTCTTTAGAGATTGTTCAGTGATGATCTCAACGAGGAATCTCTGCGGTGTCTGATGACCGTTGTTCCCGGTATGTCCATTTCCCTCGTCCTGTGGAATACTCCTCTGCGGTCCACCAATGGTCAGCGACTCGGCACCGGAACGGTCGGAGTACATCGGAGCGTCATCGTTCGGACCGGTGCGCGCGAGCGTGCGCGCGAGCGCGAGCACAGCAGAAAGCTGTTCCGGTTGCTTGGAATGTGACGCTACCCTCCGTAGTTGGCGTATCATATCAAGGTGCTACTATGGTATCATGTTTTGTGTATTGCAGCAGCAGCAGTGGATGAGCGTTGGCATTGGCATCCTTCGGGATGTGATGCTGTTTGGTGTTGCAGACTTCATCATCTTCCATGCATTGTCAATTGCTCCCTGCCATGAAAGTCTGTCAAACGTTTGACACTCGCCATTGCACGGCCGACACTTCAAAGTAAAGCACAAAGCTTGGTGGCGATTTTCGGGTACTAGTAGCATTTCGTCCCATTTGAAACCAAACAAGTGCTGATACCGTCTGCCCCTTTCTGTTCAACCTCTGCGAAAAAATCTGTGCCTGCAATGCATAAGTAACTTTCAGGGTTGTGGCTGTCCTAGATTTTGGGCTTGGGCAAACAGTGGAGGTGTGTGGAAAGCACGATGTCTTCCAACTTGAGCTTTAGAACAGCGGAAGCATACCGAGAAGCCTGAACGGTGAAACAACACAACAGTTGCTTGTTTTGCTCCTCGCTGTGGCGAAACAAAAACGACAACAAAAGATGAACCTCGGAAAGTTGCATGTTTCAGAGTGTTTCAGATATTCATGTTGAATCGTGAGCAAATACTAGAGGAACATGATCACAAATTTGCCCCCAGGGGCAGAGCGCCATTTCTGGTGCAAAAACATAAGGAGATCATGCTGCAAACATCCTTTGACAAACGTGCCAAAACGCTCGCGTGGAAAACCATCCAGCAGGATCCGGCAGGACGTGTATACTTGATAGACACCCCCGATCGTCCAATCTGTAAACTGGTCGATATTTTCCAAACTTCCAGGGGGTCGAACTTGGAGGTGTCAAGCATTTTTGATATATACCTAAATTACTCAAGTTTCATATTCTTGTGCACCTCCCTACACTTTGAAGTCCGGTCGGTCCGCACGGAGGATCGACTTAGCTTGGAGCCGTATGAGCTCCCGAGCACGTCAAGGCGCTCAGATTCCGAGGGGGGGGAGAGACTCAGGTGTCAGGTGATCAGCACACAAGCACCACCAGAGGTTATGATGGCGGGTGCAAATCACGAAAGGTAGCTTGAGCTACCTGAGTTCTCCTTGCTTTAGCAAACATGTATTACAATACAATATTACAATCAGGATTTGGTGATTTGCATTGAATTTGGCCGTGTAAGACATGATTCTGTTCGACGGGGGGGGGCCCCGCCCGTGGATCAAATCCCCCCTGCGCCGTCGCTGTTTGGGTCACATCCATCCACCTTTGACGCCGTCATGGACTTCTACCAGGGTTACTTGTGATTGCCTGCTACCTTTCGTTCACCCCCTCCTCTCTCAAATTCTAAGCCAGTGGGTGAACCAGGGAACATGAAAAGATTATAAACCACCAAACCATCAGCAAGTCAATTGTTCGTGTTGCTTGGTGGTTCACTTGTTGTAAAGCACCAGCCCCACGTCAAACGCCAGCGTTGCTTGGGGTAGGTATATAGGTCAGGCTCACTTTTTGGAGCCTTCCTAGTCCCACTCTCCACAGACCTCAGGGGTTCGGTCTCTTTGGAGAGAGCGGCCCGGGTCCAGTTGAGCCAACACCGGGCCAACACCGGGCCGTCGCCGTGGTGAAGACGAACCGGAGCACCCGGGCAACAGATCAGCATCCGATGACCAGCCTGGTTGCGGGGGTCTCCACTGGATGATAGCTAATGACTACTAATGACACCACTTCGAAACCTCCATGCGAGCTCACCCAGACAGGATGCTCCAAGAAATCCATGTTTCCTGCACCAGTTGCTGCCGCCTCCAAATCCTTTGGTCGTGCCGCATCGTAGGGCTTCGGCTCGGCTCCCTCTCCTCAAGGAGCCGCTTCGCGGGTGCCGCCTACCCGGCGTACCCGGTGTATGCTCCGCAGCACCCGCCACGCGGCCACGTCGCGCTCACGGCGGCCGGAGGCCGGGAGGGCGCCCAGGAGTTCGTCCGTGGTTTCTGGGCATTCCAAGCGATTGACTCACCGATTTGGATGGTTCTGACCGTTCAGAACTGTTTTTACATGGTTTTGCTAAAGATCGGTTATTCCACTCCAAAACCAGGTCAACCAATTTTTGAATGGTCTTCTTGAAGGGGGTGATTCTTGCAGTGGCGTCAAACTTCGTGCCCCCAACACGTCGAACTGCTGGCGCCAACACGTCGACCTGCTGGCATCCACTTCGACATCAGCAGGTTTTCCGTGGACGTCTTGGAAGGAACTTCAAGTTGGCGCCCATGTGCCATCCCTGTTTTGCTTCGATTGGAAGAGGCATCCCTTGGCCGGGGCGGTTGGCCCCGGCCTTTCCCTCCTTGGGGGATTTCTGCGGTGATTGGTTCCTTGCCGATGCGGTGCGGCGATGCTGGTCAGCGATGGGAGGCTATGAGGGACTATGAGGCTATAAATGTTCAGACGTCCCCCAACTATGCAGCCTAGAACCTGTACATTGTACGCTGAAAGATGTCAAGGGTTGGGAACACTATGGAACACTGTTGAGACATATGAAGTTTGGGGTGTTCAAGTGTGATTATTTCAAGAGGTACACTTTTGCCAGCCTAAACTGCCACATCCACTCGTACGCATCCACTGTGGCTAGTAGACAAACAGCTGCCTGACGCGATCAGGTGACAAGCTGCTTGAGCTCCAGCTTTTGCAAGCAGAAGCTGCTCCTCGGACTTCTTGGGAAGATGGGGTGCGATCATACTTAGCGCCGGTTTTTCACAATGGGTTTCCAAAATGGTTGATTTCAGTCCAACGAGCACTGGTTCACTTTCGTTCGCAACCAGCGTCGCTATCCAGAAGTCATTCCAAAATGGATTTGACATGGCAGGACCAAATGGGACTGCGCTGCTCGCAAGATTTGGTAGCCTCATTGGCCCCCCACTTGGCACAAGCCTTTCTTTCCTTCTGACTCTTTTCAGGATTTCAAGCACACGTAGACTCCTTCAGCACAGCATCCAGCAAGTAGAGAAACATCACTCACCTCCCACAGAAGCCAGCTTCTCTTACCTTGTTTGAGGCACCAGTGGTGGATATTGGATATTCCCAAAAACAACCACCCACGCCACGCCTCAATCCTCCCAATGCCCAGTTTTGGGGAGGATTTGGCTCCCTGCTTGCTGTGCACACCACAATCCCCATGGAGTTTCTCACGGAAAAACGCAATATAACGAGAATGCTTGATGTGAACCTTGGATGACAGTACCCGGGGAGTCAAAGCCTTCTTTAGGGGAGTATATAAAGGACACTTCCTTTATATACT